ACGACCTGACCTTGCATACCCTCTTAGCATCTTGGCACGCTATGTTGCTCCTGGGAGACACCGACCAGAGCACATGGCTGCAGCGAAGAGGGTGTTGCGCTACTTGTGCAGTACGTCGGGCATGGGGCTAGTGCTTGGAGGGCGACGTCGAGTGGTCCTCACAGGTCACGCAGACGTTTCTTGGGCTGATGACCAGGCTACGCAGCGGTCGTCACAGGGTTACACCTTCAGCCTTGGCTCCGGCTCTGTTTCATGGCGGTCTACCCGCTCGTCTTCTATTCTCGGCTCCAGCTGTGAGGCTGAGATCTACGCGGGGGCCATGGCTGCACAGGAGCTACGCTGGCTCACCTACCTGCTGACTGACCTAGGAGAGCCGCCTCGTTCTCCTCCAGTTCTGTACGTAGACAACAAGGCCATGCTGGCCTTGTGTCGGGAGCACAGACTGGAGCACAGAACGAAGCACATTGCTCTCCGCTACTTCCTTGCTCGTGAGCTGCAGCAGCGTGGTCAGCTGCGCCTTACTTACGTGGCCTCTGAGGCCAACACTGCTGATGTCTTTACCAAGGCACTTCCGCCTGGTGATCATCAGCGCTTCTGTACTATGCTAGGTCTTGTGCCTACTTGGCCTCACTTGCTCACTTCTTGACCTTACTTGTACTGTGATCTTTCTATACCTGCACTTGCCTGTTTACCTTTATATATGATCTTGCATGTGAACTGGCCTTGTGGCCTTGCTCTTGTGCTCGGACTGTGTGGTGACGTTGTGATCCACCCTGAGCTTGCTTTGCTTTGCTTGACTGGTCTTGTGACCTCTTGTTCTCCTCCACTTTGCCTATGGAGGTGTGTCAAACTCTTATGCTATAGTCTGTGTAGGCTGTAGTGGGGTAGACTATATGGGGTACAACAATTCTAGGTTTTCCTACTTGTACCCACCTGTTTGCTAGTTCATTCATTCCTCATTTCTTCACAGTCAAACCAGTTCTTAAGACAAGGTAATTGATTGAAATACCTGGAAGTGTGAAAAAATGGTGCTAAAAAAAACAAATTGACGATGAAACGGTGTCATGTTGCGAAATGGCCAATCCTTGCTCAGTTTCATGCCATTGAACGCACAAACAAGCGTCACGTACTGCGTAGTTGTGCGAATGAGGTCAATCCAGTTCGTAAGACAAGGTAATTGATTGAAATACCTGGATGTGTGAAGAATGGTGCTAAAAAAAACAAATAGACGATGAGACGGTCACATGTTGCGTACTGGCCAGTCCTTGCTCAGTTTCATGCCAACGAACAAACAAATAGGCGTCACGTGTTGCGTGGATGTGCGAAGGAGCTCAAACCATTTCCAAAGACAGGATAATTGATTGAACTACCTGAATATGTGAAGAAAACGTGCTAAAAAAAAAACAACTTAACGATGAAACGATGACATGTTCCGTACTGGCCTATCCTCGCACACTGTGAGAGTACGACGGCTTATGCCGGCTATGCTTGCTTGCCTTTACTTTATTATGCTATTTCTAGCATGGGATTATTTTATGCATGCATGAATTGCTTGATTTCCTAGGCTAGGTGCTCTCCTATTTTATAGTAATAGCACCGAGCTAGGTTGCGTGCACCGAATTCTGGGCTTTTCGGTTGCCACCGTATTGCCTTCTACCGAATTCGAGAAGGGTCTGTTCGGGACGCTTCGCGACCCTCAGAACCTTCGCGTAACACCTGGTTACTGGGCCTTGTGTAGAGCCTATATATAGCCTCGTGTTGTACCCAGGTGATTCATTCAATTCAAACTCTCTTTTCTGAGCTCGATCCTAGATCCTCACACACATCATCAAGCCATCGAATGCACAAACAAGCGTCACGTGCTGCATATTTGTGCGAATGACCCCACATCAGTTTTCACGACACGCTAATTGATTAAACTTCATGAATGCGTGAAGAAATAGTGAAAAAAAAAAAAACAAAACAAAACAACAACCAGAGAATGAAACGGTTACATGTTGCATATAGACAACGACGTTGTAGTCATGGCCTACGAAGTTAATGTTTAGATCAAATACATGTCTAGATGTATTGGATTGCCCTGAATTTTGGCGAGGCCTCTCTATATGGTTCCTAGACCCTCCCACATGAAATTCAGGGCAAGCGGAGCATTGGTGATTATTATCAATGCAAGTATGCAAATGTAGGTGACTGTGATGTAGATCTGGCCGGACATGTGGATGTTCAGACTAAAGACGCGTCCAGAGGTATTGGATTGCCCTGAATTTTAATAGGATCTATTTACATGTTTCTTAGACCCCCCCACATGAATTTCAGGGCAAGCGGAGCACTGGTGATTTATATCGAGGCTACTGTGCAAATGCAAGCGACGACGCTTTAGTTCTGGCCTGACACGTGGATGTTTAGATTATACTCCTGTATAAAGGTATTGGGTTGCCCTGAATTCTGGTGAGGCCTCTCTAAATAGTTCCTAGACCCTCCCACATGAAGTTGAGGGCAGGCACATAACTGATTATTGATAACGAGGCCACTGTGGAAATGCTGGCGACGACGCTGTAGTTCTGGCCGGGCATGTGGTTGTTGTCAAACTCTTATGCTATAGTCTGTGTAGGCTGTAGTGGGGTAGACAATATGGGGTACAACACTTCTAGGTTTTCCTACTTGTACCCACCTGCTTGCTAGTTCATTCATTCCTCATTTCTTCACATGGTATAGAGCAGGTTCCCTAGTGGGAACGCTTCTCAGGGCCCACCACTGAAATCGACTTTTTTTTTTTCTGACCGGAGCGCGAGTCGCTGTCAGAAACAAGAAGTGATTGAACTATGAAACATTGGAGTACAAGTATGAAACCCTAGAGTTGTGTACCCCTTACAGGCTAACCCACTATAGCCTACACAGCAATAACACATATATAATGTTTGACACACCCCCATAGGCAAAGTGGGGGAGAGCAAGGGGTCAAAAGACCAGTCAGCAAAGGCACACAAGCTCAGGGTGGATCACAACGTCACCACACACTCTGAGCACAAGCAAAGGGCCACAGGGCCAGTTCACATGTAGAGGCATATATGCAACACAAACAGCAAGGTGATCTCAACCTAGCAAAGCAAACAGGCAGGCATACATATATAGAGATCACAGTACAGGCAAAGCCTACAGCAAGTGAGGAAAAGTGGGCACCAGCCCCAGCATAGTGCAGAAGCGCTGATGATCACCAGGCTGAAGTGCCTTGGTGAATATATCAGCGGTGTTGGCCTGAATGGCCACGTAACGCAGACGAAGCTGACCGCACTGCTGCAGCTCTCGAGCCAGGAAGTAGCGGAGAGCGATGTGATTCGTTCTGTGCTCCAGTCTGTGCTCCTCACACAAGGCAATGGCAGCCTTGTTGTCGACGTACAGCACTGGAGGAGAACTAGGCCGCTCTCTCAAGTCGGTCAGCAGGTAGGTCAGCCAGCGTAGCTCCTGTGCAGCCATGGCTGTGGCGTAGATCTCAGCCTCACAACTGGAGCTGAGAACAGAAGACGAGCAAGTAGAACGCCAAGAAACTGAACCAGAGCCAAGGCTGAAGGTGTAACCCTGTGACGACCGCTGAGTAGCCTGGTCGTCAACCCAAGAAGCGTCTGAGTGCCCAGTGAGAACAACTGAGCTCCCTCCTCCAAGCACGAGCCCCATGCCTGATGTACTGCACAAGTAGCGCAATACCCTCTTTGCAGCATCCCAGTGCACCTTTCGGTGCCTGCCAGGAGCCACGTAGCGGGCCAGAAGGCCAAGAGGGTATGCTAGGTCAGGACGAGTGCAAGTCATCAGGTACATGAGGCAACCAACTAGCTCTGGGTAAGGACCACTCGGCTCTACGGACTCATCCGAAGGCAGAGCTGAGAGCGAGTGACCTATAGCCAGAGGAGTGGCCTGTGCTGAGGACCAGGTGAAGCCGAAGCGCTGAAGGACCTGCTGCACCATGTGTGACTGAGTCAGTGTGATGGTGCGGCGTGCTCTGTCCCGGGTGATCTGCAAACCAAGGTAGCTGCGCAGTTCACCCAGGTCTGTGCACGTGTGTCTCTTCTACAGCTCCAACTTCACGTGGGCGAGAGCCTCAGTGTCAGCAGTGGCAAAGACCAAGTCGTCGACGTACACGAGGATGTAGAACGGCGGCAGCGAAGTGTCGGTGCGCAGGAACAGCGACGGGTCAGCAGTAGAGGGCGCGAACCCAAGTGCCGCAAGAGTAGTCCTCAGTGTGTCGTGCCACTCACGTGGCGCCTGGCGGAGACCGTAGACCAGCCGCCAGAGGCTCCACTGGGTACCAGGAGGAAACGACCCAGTGAAGCCAGGAGGGCGGCGCAGCCAGATCTCCTCGTGCAGGCTGCCCTGCAAAAAGGCTGTGCTGAAGTCAAGAGAGTGAAGCTCGTAGTCACGCTGAGCAGCAACGTGCAGTAGCACCCGAAGAGTGGTCATCTTCGGGGTGGGGAGGCTGAGACGGGAGGCAGATGAAGCAGAGGCGTCAAAGAGCATGTTTGTGGCGTGCATGTCCCATGAGCTGCGGACGCCCATGGTTGGGATTATTGGTAAGAGTTTGACGGTACACTGTTGCATTCCTCCTGTTTTTGAGTGTACCGCGCATGTCCCATGAGCTGCAGACGCCACCAGGCATGATTGACGCTCTGGCAGACGTGGGCCTACCTAACTCATCCCATCTCGCCGACCTGCTAATGGCCAGGGCATCAGTACCTCCAGTACGAGCACCTCCGGGACCAGCAACTCCAGCACCTCCAGTAGACAAAGGACCAGCGCCACCCCCAGCTCCAGTGACGTCAGCAGATTTACCTCCAGCAGCAGAGCCCCAAGCTCCAGAAGCCCGACCCTGACGGCGACCGTACCAGTCGTGCAGCTGCTGTGAGGTGAGAGGCACACGCGGACGAAGGCGGCTACTCCAAGGAGACCGCGCAGCAGCAGACTCAGAACCCTCAGGCGTCGCACCCCCAGACTCAGTACCCCCAGGCTCCTCACGCCCGGGCTCAGCACCTCCAGACACAACACCCCCAGGCTCCTCACGTGCAGGCTCAGCACCTCCAGGCTCCTCACGCTCAGGCTCAGCGCCCCCGGACTCCGCACCTGAAAGAAGTCTACTCCCTCTCGCTGACTGAAGCCTCGAGCAACGTAACGAGCCTTGAAGACAGGCGGAGAACCCGGCGGCCGCTTCACCCTGAAAATCCACATGCCACTGACGATGTTCGCCCCAGGAGGGGGAATCTCGTCGACGTAAGTACCAGTGGACTTCCAAGATGCCATCTCTGCGTCCATGGCTGACTGCCACTGAGAGGAGTACTCACCCGCGATCGCCTCAGCGTAAGAGCGCGGGGTCGGGATGTCTGGAGCATCCGGGTCTCCCTCAGGGGCAATCAGCATGGACACGAGATGAGGCGCAGCGGCTGCAAGACACTCAAGGTCCTCCTGCCTGTCCTCAAGGACGTCCGTGCCTAGAGCACACTCACCCCCGACGGACGGAGGACAGACAGACTCAGACTCAGCAACAAGACTAGTGGCGTAGTCTAGACGACAGCGAGCAGCAAAGTCGACAAGTTCAGCAACTAGGGCAGACGCAGCAGCAGACTCAAAGGAAGGGTCAGTGACAGCAGTGGCCAGGAGACGCGTGACAGTAGGACTGGCAGCACGAAGAGAGTCAGACTCCAGGTCAGCAAGGACAGGAAGAGAGGACTCAGGAGGAGACGGCAGAGGGACACGCTGCGGAGCAGTGGAAGGACGCAGAGTCATAAAGTGTGTGCCAGGCACAGGTGGAGGACGCTCACGCTGACCACGGCGACCAGTGCGAGCAGCACGAACAGGTGACACAGGACGCGACACAGGCGACACACGACGAGACTCAGGCTCACGACGCTCTGTAAGACCACCTGTCGGACCAGTGTAGGGAGAAGGACCAGGAAGTGGCGAGGTAGGCGGGAGCTGGGACTGCGACTGGACAGGCGGAGGACACTCTAAGGAGGGAGGAGGACTAGGAGGAGGCGGCTGACCAAGAACCTGCTGAAGGAGCGGAACGAAGTACGGCCGCGGCCGTGAAGTGCCCCCAGAAGCAGCACAGACAGCACCAGAACCTCCAGCCGAACCAGCACCAGCAGCACCTCCAACAGCTCCAGAGCCTCCACCAGCACCGGCAGCACCTCCAGCAGCTCCAGAACCTCCAGCAGCACCAGCAGTACCTCCAGGACCTCCAGTAGCACCAGCAGCACCTCCAGTAGCACCATTGTCAGTAGTACCTCCAGCAGCAGGGCCTCCAGCTGGCGGTACCTCAACGCGAGGAGCTCCACTCCTGAGGCTGCAGCGCCGAGCGTACCACTCACGTAGCCGCTGAGGGGAGGGAGGCTCTGGCTGCGGCACTGCACCTGCGAGGCCACCAGCCCCGACTCCAGCAGACCCCCCAGCTCCAGTAGCCCCACGACGGAGGCTGTAGCGCTGAGAGTACCACTCACGCAGCTGCTGTGAAGAGGGAGCGCCACCAGGCTCAGCACCCCCAGTCTCAGCACCCCCAATCACAGCACCCCCAGGCTCAGCACCCCCAGTCGCAGCACCTCCAGGCTCAGCACCCAAAGTCTCCGCACCCCCAGGCTCAGCACCCCCAGTCTCCGCACCCCCAGGCTCAGCACCCCCAGTCTCAGTGCCCCCAGACCCAGCACCACCAGGCTCAGCACACTCAGTACCTCGCGCAGGACCAGAGTCAACAGCTACCTCGACGGGCTCGACCGGGTCTACCTGGGAAACACCTGAGGGAGCAGCACCCTGGGGAGGGAGGGGGTCTACCGACGGGACACCTGGGGTGAGGAAGAGCGGCGAGGGGGGGAGCGGGGCAGTGCGGTAGGGGAAGAGACGGTAAAAGGGTACCGACTCGTCGAAGGTGACGTCCTGAGAGGCGAAGACACGGCGCGAGGTGGGGTGGTAAAACCGCCAGCCAGGCGCGTCAGGGACAAAGCCAAGGAAGACACAGGGAACCGCACGGGAGGAGAGTTTGTCCGCGGACGTATCGCGGACAAAGGCTCGACATCCCCAGACTCGGAACACCGACGCGTCGCCAACCTCCCCCGTCCAACGCAGGGTAGGCGAGGTCTCCGGAACAGAGACACGGGGCCAGAGGTTGAGCTGATGCGCGGCGTACTGCACTGCAAACGGCCACAGGAAATGGGGGGTAGCCGCATGGATCATGGAGGTACGAGCGACCTCCATGACAAGACCAATGCGGCGCTCAGCAACCCCATTCTGCTGCGGAGAGGCCGGGAGAGTGAACGTCTGGCGGATGCCGTGCTCCGCACAGTAGGCTGCCAGGAGGTCAGAGGAAAACTCGCCACCTCTGTCAGAGTGCAGACGTAGAACAGGAAAGTCCGACTGGAACCGCTGGCGGTGCTGGAGACGAGCAGCGCGGATCCAGGGGATCAAGACATCAGGGACCTCACCCTTGGTACGCAAGGGGAAGACCGTGGTGTAGCGCGTGTAGTCGTCGACGACCAGCAGAAAGTACCGCTCGTGGCCCTGTCCCCGGACGCGGGCGGGGCCCCACACGTCCAGGTGGAGAGTCTGCAGGGGAGCCTCTGTGGGAGGGAACGAGGAGGAGTGAGGAGCGGCGCGCTGCCGCCCCTCGACACAGGGAAGACAGGGAGGAGCAAGCGAGGGTGGTAGGGGAGGGAGAACTCTGGGAAGACCAGAGACAAGGTACCTGGAGTGCATGCCGCGAAGGCGCTGCACTGACGGGTGACCAAGGCGGTGGTGCCAGAGGACAGTCCTGTGCGACAGGGAGCGACACGAGCAGGGGGCCGACAGCTGACCTGACGCAGACGCAGACGCAGCTACCTGAGGGGACTCAGTGGTTAGTGTGTACAAGTCCGACTCCGGCTGCCGAGTGAAGGTAGCCAGGTGACGACCCGTCCGGGCACACGTGCAGTGCGTCACACGCTCGTAGGCCGGGGTGAACTGGTGAAAACCCGCGTCCTGGAGCGCGGAACCCGCCACCAAGTTCGTAGAGAACGAGGGGAGGTAGAGGCCCGACAACGTGCCAGACGGGACAGCAGGACAAGGGAGGGCAGTGGTGGAGGTCGCAAGGACCGGACCCCCTGAGGGGTCAGCCAGGGAGACAGCAACCGGTCTAGGGAGCTGCTCTAGGGTAGTGCGGTCGCGAAAGAAACAGTGGGAAGCACCTGAGTCCAGTGTGAAGGTGTGCAGTGCCTCAGTAGGTGCGGTACCAGCAGACGCAGACGCACTAGCACCTAGAGCAGCAGCCTCACCAGGACCTGGAGCAGCAGACGCACTAGCACCTAGAGCTGCAGCCTCACCGGTCCCAATACCTGGGTCAGGCGGTACACTCAGGTAACAGTCACCCTCAACACTAATAGTCAATGCATATATAGCAGCAAGGATAGCATCATAATCAAGAGCAAAGATATCAATTCCCTTCTTAAGCAGATCAGCCCAGCGGGGCAGCTCAGAGGCGTCTGGGAACTGCTCGCGCCAGGCGTCATCGAGGCGAAAGAAACAGCGCTGCGCCGTGTGAAACTTCCCACAAGTCTGGCCAGTGCGGTCACCTGTGTGGATGACGTACGGGCAGGTACCTCCACCCCCAGACCCCCCACGCTGAGAGTACCACTCACGGAGCTGCTGGGGCGAGGGAGTCTCGCCGGGACGCTGCTGCTGCTTCCTCTGGCCACCGCCGAACCCCCCACGTTGCACCGCTCCACCGCGCCCGCCACCCGCTCCACCGCCGCCACCACTGCCACCACCGCCCCCACCACCCCCACCACCTCCGCCGCCACTGCCCCCTGTGCCGCCAGTGACCCCCCCACCACCCGCGCCACTCCCACCTCCGCCACCACCCCCGCCCCCCCCACCCCCTCCACCGCCGCCGCCCCCGCCTCCACCTCCACCACCCCTGCCCCCCTTGCCCCTGCCGCCCTTGCGCCTCCCACTAGGAGCAGACGCGGCCCCGACCCCCTCAGCTCCGAGGAAGTCGACAGCAGCAGCAGATGCAATGGAGGGGAGGAGGGGGGAGGGGGAGCACCCCTCAAAGAAGGGGGTGCGGGGGTCACCACGAGAGGCACCTACAGCTACAATGCTCTTCTCAGCTGCTAGGAGTTCCTTCTCGAGGAGGTCGACAGTGAGGTCAGTGGGGGAGAGGGCGAGAAACTGGTCCCTGACTGTGCGAAGGGAGTCAGGGAGGCGGGTGACAAGGTGGTACAGTGTGAGGTACATCGGGGGGGGGTTCTTGGCGAGGAAATCTGGGGGGAGCGCGGCACGGTAGCGGAGGTCACTGGTACGGAGGTGGGTGATGAGGTCAGCTACAGTGGCAAAGGCGGACAGGTCGGGGAAGAGGTAGGGCAGTGAGAGACGGCCTATAGCAGCAGTGGCAGGGGAGGAGTAGCGCGCGACTACTGCGTCGTACAGCTCCTTAGCGGTCTTATGCTGGCCGAAGTGCTCGCGCTCATCTAACGGCAGGTGGCTGCGAACGGCTAGGCGGGCGTGAGCATCACGGGTCTGCCACTGGGAGCGAGCAGTACTGTCAGCAGTAGCAGGGAGGTGCGGGAGCAGCGCCTGACGTGTGGTCATACAGGGAGACATCGTCCTTGGCAGTGATCTGGAGGAACAGGTGGAGGTCATCTAACCAAACTTCAAACTTAATCGGGCGGCCCTCAGCGTCAAAGGTGAGAATAGAGGGAGTGGCCATAGTGGCAGCAGTAGCAGTAGGAACAGTAGCAGTAGCAGCAGTAGCAGTTGAAGCAGTAGTACGACAGGAACCGGAACAGGAGTTGCTGCAGGTGGGGCACAGTAGGGCGGCGCGGCTCAGGTCGGGCGGCACGGCTCGGTTCGGGCGGCGCGGCTCGGTTCGGGCGGCGCGGCTCGGTTCGGGCGGCGCGGCTCGGTTCGGGCGGCGCGGCTCGGCTCGGGCTGGGCTACGCGGCGGGGCGCGACGAGGGGCGTGCGCGTGGGCGGCTGTAGCGGGCGGGCCGCGGCTGTGCGTGGGCCTGACTAGCGCGCGGGCGGCGGCCTAGAGGAGCGTCGCGGCGGCCTACGGGCGGGGCTGCGACGCTCTGGGCGCGCTGGTTGCGACCTGGGGGCGGGCGGCTGAGGGTCGCGCGTCGGCCTAGGGGCGAGCGGGGCCTACGGGCGACGGCCTGCTGGGGCTCGCGAGAAAAAATCGGGCCGCCCTAGGCGGCGGTTTTCTACGCGCGCTAAAACGGCGGGGCCGCGCTCGGGCTGCTAGCGGGCTGCACACGGGCAGCGTGAGAGCGCACGAGGGCGCACTAGGGGAGAGGCGCACGAGGGCGCTAAAAAAAAGGGCGCACGAGGGCACCTCTAGCAAAACGGTGGGCCCTTAGGTCTAGAACCTAAGCTCTTAATACCATGTCAGAAACAAGAAGTGATTGAACTATGAAACATTGGAGTACAAGTATGAAACCCTAGAGTTGTGTACCCCTTACAGGCTAACCCACTATAGCCTACACAGCAATAACACATATATAATGTTTGACAGTCGCTCCTGCCCGAGGCGCGCCCCGTGGGCCACCAATCTGTCGAGCCCTCCTAGAGGCCCCTTGCGCCACCCTTAGCGGCCCCGTCGCCACCCCTAGCGGCCCCGTCGCCGCCCTTCTAGGCCCCTCGAGGCCCCTTCGCGGCCCCGTCGCCGCCCCTAGCGGCCCCGTCGCCGCCCTTCCAGGCCCCTCACGGCCCCTACGAGGCCCCGTCGCCGCCCCTAGCGGCCCCATCGCCGCCCCTCGCGGCCCCGTCGCCGCCCCTCGCGGCCCCGTCGCCGCCCCTACCGGCCCCGTCGCCGCCCCTACACGGCCCCGTCGCCGCCCCTAGCGGCCCTGTCGCCGCCCCTAGCGGCCCCGTCGCCGCCCCTCGCGGCCCCGTTGCCGCCCCTACGCGGCCCCGTCGCCGCCCCTACCGGCCCCGTCACCGCCCCTACGCAGCCCCGTCGCCGCCCCTAGCGGCCCCGACGCCGCCCCTCGCGGCCCCATCGCCGCCCCTCGCGGCCCCGTCGCCGCCCTTAGCGGCCCCGTCGCCGCCCCTTGCGGCCCCGTCGCCGCCCCTTTCGGCCCCTCCCCGGCCCCTTCACCGCCCAGCTGCCGAGCCGCCCAGCAGCCGAGCCGCCGAGCCGCCCAGCCGCCGAGCCGCCCAGCAGCCGAGCCGCCGAGCCGCCCAGCAGCCGAGCCACCGAGCCGCCCAGCAGCCGAGCCGCCGAGCCGCCCAGCAGCCGAGCTGCCAAGCCGCCCAGCAGCCGAGCCGCCGAGCCGCCCAGCAGCCGAGCCGCCCAGCCGCCCAGCAGCCGAGCCGCCGAGCCGCCCAGCAGCCGAGCCGCCGAGGCCACTGTCGAGCCGCTGCTACCGCGGTTGCCGCCCTGTTCCTTCCGGCGCGCCCCGGCCCTACCCACCCGGACTGGTGAGAGCACTCCCTGCTAGACCACTGCTGTCATGGCTACCCCCAGTGTCCTTACCTTTGATGCTGAGGGTCGTGCTGTTGACTTCGAGGACTGGGTAGATGACCTACAACTCTTCCTACAGTGCGATAGGGCAGACGGACTTTCTCTGTTCGATCTCACCTCTGGTGCCTCTCCTGCCCCGCCTGCTGATGCTGACAGCACTGTTCGCTCACAGTGGGCCACCCGCGATGCTGCTGCCCGTCTTGCTGTGCGTCGCCACTTACCGACCACTGAGCGTGCGCACTTTAGTCAGTACAAGAGTGCTAAGTCCTTGTACGACGCTGTAGTTGCACGCTACTCTTCCCCTACCACTGCTGCTCTTAGCCGCCTCATGCTTCCGTACCTGTTTCCTGACCTCGCAGCCTTTCCCAATGTCGCTGACCTCATTACGCACCTTCGCACTAGTGACACCCGCTACCGAGCTGCGCTTCCTGCTGAGTTCTGCGCCAAGAACCCCCCCCCCCATGTACATCACCCTCTACTACATAGTCACCCGGCTTCCTGACTCCCTTCGCTCGGTCAGGGACCACTTCCTCTCTGTTTGCCCCACCACACTCACCGTTGACCTCCTCGAGGAGCGCCTCCTGGCAGCTGAGAAGAGTATAGTCGCTGTAGGAGCCTCTAGAGGTGACCCGCGTGCCCCTGTCTTTGAGGGGTGCTCCCCCTCCCCCCTTTTGCCCTCTGTTGCCTCTGCTGCTGCCGTCGACTTCGTTGGCACCGAGTCGGTCGGCGCTGCGTCTGCCCCTAGCGGGCGACGCCGCACCGGCAAGGGCAAGGGGGGCAAGGGCGCTGGCTGGCGGGGGCGGTGGAGGTGGAGGTGGAGGAGGCGGAGGGAGTGGGGGTGGTGGTGGGAGTGGTGGCGGGGGTGGGGGCTTCGGTAGCGGCGGTGGCGGCGGAGGCGGCGGCAGCGGTGGCGGTGGGAGCGGAGGAGGAGGCGGTGGCGGCGGTGGCGGAGGTGGCGGCGGAGGAGGTGGAGCTGGTCGGGGCGGCTCTGCGCAGCGGGGCGGCTTAGGTGGTGGTCAGCGCCAGCAGCAGCAGCGCACTCGTGAGACCCTGTCCCCCCAGCAGCTTCGTGAGTGGTACGCTGGGCGTCAGCGAGGTGGGGGTACTGGTCCCTGTACCTACATCCTCCGTACCGGCGACCGCACTGGTGAGCAGTGCGGGGGCTTGCACTCCACCCAGCGCTGCTTCGGCCGCCTGACGGACGCTTGGCGTCACCAGTTCCCTGACGCCACTGAGATCCCTCGCTGGGGAGAGCTGTCTAGGGCGGGGGTTGCTATCTTTGATCTTGACTATGATGCTATTCTTGCTGCCATGTATGCTGTGTCTGCTAGTGATGAGGGTGACTGTTACCTGTGTGTTCCGCCTGACCCGGGCATTGAGGCTGCTGCTCTAGGTGCTGGTGAGGCTGCTGCTCTAGGTGCTAGTGCGTCTGTTGCCCCAGGTGCTGGTGAGTCTGCTCTCTCAGGTACCACGTCGGCTCAGGCCTTACACACCTTCACCCTTGACTCGGGTGCTTCCCGCTCCTTCTTTCGAGACCGCACCACGCTTACGCCGCTTAGTCGGCCGTAGAGAACGAGGGGAGGTAAAGGCCCGACAGGGTGCCGGACGGGACAGCAGGACAAGGGAGGGCAGTGGTGGAGGTCGCAAGGACCGGACCCCCGGAGGGGTCAGCCAGGGAGACAGCAACCAGCCTAGGGAGCTGCTCTAGGGCAGTGCGGTCGCGAAAGAAACAGCGAGAAGCACCAGAGTCCAGTGTGAAGGTGTGCAGTGCCTCAGTAGACGCAGTACCTGAAAGCGCAGACTCACAAGTACAAGAGCAATGTTGGCTGTCTCATGTACCTGATGACCTGCACACGACCTGACCTTGCATACCCTCTTAGCATCTTGGCACGCTATGTTGCTCCTGGGAGACACCGACCAGAGCACATGGCTGCAGCGAAGAGGGTGTTGCGCTACTTGTGCAATACGTCGGGCATGGGGCTAGTGCTTGGAGGGCGACGTCGAGTGGTCCTCACAGGTCACGCAGACGCTTCTCACACAGGTCACCAGGTCCCCAGGTCCGTACAACAAGGGTGTCAATGTTTTCCTAAATTCAGCTTTTCTTCTACACTTTATTATAGGTAATGCGCTTGAAAATTTGACCCGATTATGTGGCACTTCGGGCTTCGGACTCTATTGAGCTTGTAAACGTTAAGACAATATAGTGAAAAACGCATTGACACCCTTGTTGTACGGTGTACAGCTCGGTTGAAATGTTGCGGTACCAGTCAGGGAATTCGCGCACAGTTGATGGGTACCACGCAGGGAAGATGGGTACCACGGAGGGAAGATGGGTACCACCAAGGGGCGCGCATGATCTGACGGGTACCATCGAGCCACGTAGGTGACTTTTGACGTCAGCGGGCTCAATGTTGGTTACCCAGAATGTAATTACCCCACATTTTTCTGATGTAAATTCACAGGAGTCTTACACTGTGCCAGAGCAGTCGCAATGAAGTTCCGAATAGAGGACCTCGACGTGTACTTCCCGTACGAGTACATCTACCCGGAGCAGTACGAGTACATGGTGGAGTTGAAACGTACGCTGGACGCCAAGGGCCACTGCGTGCTGGAGATGCCGACGGGCACGGGCAAGACCATCACGCTGCTGTCGCTCATCACGTCGTACCAGATGGCGCGCAAGGGCACGGGCAAGCTCGTGTACTGCACGCGCACCGTGCACGAGATGGAGAAGGCGCTCGCCGAGCTGCGCCTGCTGCACGCCTACCAGCAGACCGCGCTCGCGGGGGAAGCCGCCGCCGGCGCCGGCGCGGGGGGAAACGGCGCAGGGGGGAAAGGCGCGAGCGGAGTCCCGCGGATATTAGCCCTGGGGCTGAGCTCGCGCAAGAACCTGTGCATCCACCCGGTGGTGGCGGGCGAGGGGTCGCGCGAGAGCGTGGACGCGGGGTGCCGCAAGCGCACGGCGTCGTGGGTGCGCGCGGCCGCGCTGGAGAACCCCGACATCGAGGTCTGCACCTACTTTGACCAATTTGACCGCAAAGGACAAGAAGCCGCTCTGCCGCCCGGAGTGTACACGCTCCAGGACCTGCGGGCGTTTGGGCGGGAGAAGGGGTGGTGCCCGTATTTTCTGGCACGG